AGGGGAGATGGGAGAGCCCAGAAGCCAAGTGGCCAGAGACCAGCATAGCTAACATGGCTAGGTTATATAGAAAAGAGCAGCTTAGTGAAGGAGCTCAGCCCCGTCTCTGGGCTGGAGAGTTTAGGGTAGGGAGCAGGGGTGTGGGGGGAGGGGTCAGGGGTGAAGGTATGACAGGCAGGATGTTTCCATAACAGGCACTGGCAGACCCTGAGAGACAGGATGGCAGAGTCCACTCTGACATGTCGGTAGGCACCTCAGATAGCCTATTAGGTTTGAGACCTAATAGTAATTCCATGTCCCTACCCATGCCCGCTGGAGAAAGGAAGTCACTTGTAAAACCCTGGGTGTATGTATGCCAGATTCTCTGTCATGATTCTAATGGGGGCCCAGGATAACATTGTGAGGTACTGTCCTCATTTTATGATCCAGAAACTGATGCTCAGAATGGTTAAGTAATTTGTTCAAGGTCAATAGCTAGAGAGATGCCAGGGCAGGACTTGAACACGCGTCTTTAATGTTTCCGAGGCTTTGTTCTCTTTCACCACGCAGTGAAAAGCATTAGGTTCCCAGCTTCCCGAACCTGCTCTCCTTCAAGCCCCTAGGATTCTGGGAGAATTTATATGACACCGGGGCTGTTTTCATCATTAAAGGCTGTCAGCATGGTGACAGGGAACGGGAGATACGGAGCTGTCACAGTGGGAAAAATGAGGCAATGAGGAAGGCGCTCGTCACTGCCTGTGTAGAGGAGGCCGGCGCTCAGCCCCACACGGGCTTTGCAGGCTGCCTCAGCTGTGTCTCCACTCAGGCCCCTCTGCCAGCAGACAGAAAGGAGCCTGGCCTCCAGACTCATCCCTGACTTGGGAAAGAGGACGCTGTAGCCACGGCAAGAGCCTCGCCAGTATCCTGAATCAAGCTGGGAGCAGCATTAGGGGGCAGAGCAGCCGCTGAGAACCTCAAAGCCCAGCCCTGAGACTGCCTGCAATTTCTGCCCAGCTCTGGCCTGGCCTGGAATCCCTACCATGGACTCCCAGGCTCAGAACTTTTGGATACCTTTCAGGTGGGACGACTCTATCAGGAAGCCGATCTTCAGATCTTCCAAGTCTCCCCTCTTCTTCTTCCTGCCCTGAACTTCCTGGAGGTGAAGGAAATGTGGCACCCCAGCAAGCCACTGTCAGCTTGGGGAGCCGCTGAGAGCTTTGAGATCATTTAAACTGCTCAAGGTCTTTGTGCTTGTCAAGGTGTGGGCAAAAGTGGGCTCTGTGGCTGAGAACCTGCCCAGTTTAGAGCCCTTCTGGATATTGGCTGGATATATTCTAAGGAAGGATGCAGGGTCCCCAGAAGAGTCTGCAGGGGAGTGGCTGGTGCTGTGGTCTGGGAAGTTCTCATCCTTCCCTGGTGGGAAACCCGTGCATTTCTAATAGAGTCGCCTAATCACCTGTTTAAGCCAGGCATTCCATGTATAATGACTCCTGGCTGAGACCAGAGAAATCCATCAGCTGTCTCCTGCGAGTGCTAGCCCCGCAGGATGTGGTCCCCACTGACTGCAGGAATACTGAATAGAGGCAGCTGGGAGGCTCCGAGAGGGGGTGTTCCGGTTGGGTTAACACCTTCCTCCCAGCTGGCCAGATCCTCCTGGGCACAGGTGCCTAGAGCCACAAGATGTGGCACCCAGGATCCTTTTCCAGCTGTGCCTGTGGCACGCAATGACAACTTCCAAGGCTGGTCCCTGGGCACCTGCCCTTCTCTGCCAACGGGGAGACAAGATGCCCATACCTAAGCCTTTCTGGGCCCTGATGTGTGGCTCTAAGGCAGTTGGTTCGTTGTTTGCCCAGAGTTTTGAGGTCTGGAGGACAGGCACGGGAGATGTAGATGCTATAGCTTAGCATGTTCATTATTATGATTTAGTCATTATTACTGGGGGAAGACTGCCCCTGTTCATTCCCTGAGAAAGCAGGCTGGTGGTAGCCTGTTTCACCACCCATGTCAGATGGCTGTAACTCCAGAGACCCAGTGCCCTCTTCTGGCCTTTGAGCACACACACACACACACACACACACACACACACACACACACAGAGTAAATCTTTTTTTTAAAAAAAAGCAAAACATTCTTTTTAAAGCTGTATAAAGCTTCAATATTCTGTAAGCTTTTAACAAATGGCGTCTATTAACATTCAAGGTAGATACTCAGGAAATTCCAGATTGGTTAGACTATCCATGGTCTGCATTTCCACCCAGAACAGATTTTTTGTTTTGTTTTTTGAGGCAGGGTTTCTCCATGTAGCTCTGGCTGTCCTGGAACTCACTCTGTAGACCAGGCTGGCTTTGAACTCAAATCTGCCTTGCCTCTGCCTCCTGAGTGTTGGAATTAAAGGTGTGCACCACCACTGTCCAGTGAGAGCAGGTTTCTTACTGTCAAATGTCACTGTTTTCTGGGAAGGCCGCATGGTACTGTAGGAGTGGGGACCCTCTTTCTCGGCCACTTGGCTCTCCTCTGCTGCATCTCTGCCTGCTCCGTGCTGTCTACTCAGCTCAGGGTGTCACATGATGTCCAAAAGTTGTAGGACCAAGGAGCAACCAGGTGGAAGCCTCAGGGTCTCAGAGGTAGGGAGGGGGGAGAGAGAAGGCCTCCCAACCACACTGGGAGGCCTTGCAGCCAGACCCAGGCCCACAGCTCTTGAGCATGCCGTGAGAGAAGAAGACAGACCCAGAAAGTCTTCACCGAGGTTTCATGCGCTGCAGTAACCAGGGTAGTTGTGTCCACTGTCCAAGTGCTGAAACCTAACTTACAAGCTGTTGGCTTTTGGACTCAAGTAGGGTGCATGCTTGTTTAAAGTCTCAGAACCGCCTGAGCCACTCTGCAAGCACAGTGAGAAGGTGGCATTTGCCCGTGGACCAGAAGCAGGCTCTCCTCAATCTTATCTGCTTGGACTCCCAGCTCCAGAGCTGTGGGAAATCAACTCTATTGTTTATTAACTACCCGGTTTATGGCACTCAGTGATTGTGTCCAAGCAGGCTGTGACAGTGACCAATCCAGCTAGGAAATAAAATACATGACTGTGATCTCACTGTACATGAATTCTCTCTAAAGAAGTTATTAGCATAACTCCGTCCCATGCATATGTATGTGTGTACTACGGATGTGTCTATATGTAATCACCTATTATTGGCATCACTGGTTCTTACCCCTTACTAGCTGTGTGGCTTTGGCTAGAGGTTTATATTCTTTTATCCCCCGTTACCTTGTCTGCATGATGGAGATGATACAACAGAACTATGAGGATTCACAAAGATGGTTATTGGCAAGCGCCTGGCAGAGAACTTCGCTAATTTTACTACATCCATTACATTTTATCCCCGCCCCCTGAGGAAATGGAATCCAAGAGGTTGCCCTGGTATGCAAATGTGGAGCCAGGAGGCTCAGGAGGCTCAGAGGAGGGTGATTCTTTCCCTTTGCAGCAGGCCCTGGCACTGAGAAGCAGAGCTCTAGCTCCTCTTGAGATCAGACAGGTCTAATCACCCGAGGAGGCCAAGGAGGCACAATGGCCAGCAGCCCACTGGGGCCCTAAGAACCAATGGCCTCCAGAACTGGCAAGGACTGAGTCCTGCCCCTGTGCTAGCTAACCCGGAAGGCCTCCCAGGGGCATGCAGGGTTATCAGCTAGGGGGCCATTCCACTTAGTGCAGACTGGGAATCTCACGGGCTTCACAATGCCCATGTAGCCACCAAGAAAATCCGAGTTGGTTTTCCTATGACATGCAGTGGTCAAGGCTTCGGGAAAGTTATTTCCTTCACCTCTGTACACCTCCATTTCCTCATCTGTACAATAGGAGTGTTAGCAGTTCCTGCTGCGGGGGAATGGGGCTCGATGAGGTCTAACCCAGAGCGGCACTGCTGACACTGAGGCTGGGGTCGAACCCTAGCCCTGAAAAAAACACAGCTTGAATAGTGGCGTTTGAACATTATTCCTTCACTGCTGCTTTGGGCCCAAGGGTGGAGAGCAAGCAGTCACAGTCCAGCCTCCCAATCCCCCCCACCATGCATGCATTCATGCTTTCTTGAAGCTAGAGGGAGGACCAGAGGCAGCAAGGAAGGGAAAAGAAACCCCCAGTGAATTCTCCCGTCTTCTCCCAGTTCCACGGCCCCTGCGGGAACCAAGCAGCATAATACAATGGGATTTAATAAAATGCCTTTAACTCACAAAGTTTGTCTGCTGCCAGCTCCTTAATTAAATTGCCTAATTCTGCTCTGCAATGGCAGCACAAACTCCTGTGTTTAAAGAGCACGGTGTTGCTATGGTGTTCACACCAGGGCAGGCTCAGGGCAGGCTGTGGAAGAGCATGCAGATGAGCAGCTCTCTTCCTGCCACCACAGTGCCTGCCCATGGCATCCTCCCAGGCCCTCGCCATGATGCCCAAAGCCCCCCTTCCGCCCCCAAGTCCCATTCCCCGTATATTGCATTTGTAAGCTAGGAAGCTGTCTTTCCTAAGAGGGAACTGGATCCCGGCTGGGAATGCAGAGTTGGACTCTAGAACTGGGAGGTTTGGGGACGTCTGCACAGTGCAGAACTACTTCCTACTCTGTGGGGCCGCAGCATCTCCCACACAGCCCCCTCTACCTTCCCCGATATCATGTACAGACCCGTCTGTACCCACTCAGCAGAGCCCCAAAACCCTGCTTAGGGTCTGCCTGGCTGGGTAAGAAACCAGGTTTGCTCTTTCACTTATGTGGAGAGGTGCGAGAAACGAGTTTTCTTTTGAAGATGGGGTTTCCAACCCTGACTTTTCAGTAAAGCAATCAGGGATCCCCCACACGGTGGAAACTATGAACAGTTTCCAACAGACAGCAAGGTTGGAGAAATCTTGTTGATACCCCATACCCACCGCCTGGTTTCACCACTAACCCCATCGGCTCGTGCATCATCCATCTTCTTTTTTAAATATTTTTATTTATTTATTGTATATACAGTCTTCTGCCTGCATGCCAGCGGAGGGCACCAGATCTCATTACAGATGGTTGTGAGCCACCATGTGGTTGCCGGGAATTGAACTCAGGACCTCTGGAAGAACAGTCAGTGCTCTTAACCGCTGAGCCATCTCTCCAGCCCCCATCTTCTTTTTGGCACATTTCAGACTAAGTTGTAGACCTTGGAACACTTCTCCCTAGAGAGTTCAGCATCAACAATGCTGGAGTTAAGTTTCGCTTATTTGTTTTACTATTATAAAATTTACATACAAAGAAATCCTAGAAAGTTCCGCTGGGACTCCATACATACTTGGATCCTCCCCTCAGAGACTGATACAATTGGGCTAGAGTAGATAGACCTTAGGTAACAGTGTAATTTAAGAGACTTGACTTGGTGTGCAGGCAAATACCTTTAACCCCAGCACAAGGGAGGCAGAGGCAGGTGGATCTCTCTCTCTGAGAGTTTGAAGCCAGCCTAGTCCACATAGAGAGTTTCAGGCCAGTTAGAGACATGTGATGAGATTCTTTTTCAGAGAAAGAGAGAGACAGAGACAGAGAGACAGAGATAGAGAGACAGCAACACAGACAGACAGACAGACAGACCGACAGACAGAGATCCCTCTCACTGCCTCAGCCTCCCCAATGTGGGGCTTGTGGCTACCACCACCCCACCACACTACAATCCCTTCATAATTCTCTGATATTGCAAGAACTGGAAAACACATAACAGGGAGCAAAAGGTGTTCCTTTTCCTGTCCAGTAGGTAGAAACAGCACCCCGGGCACCTGGGCCTGCCCCTGCTCTGCCTTCCCACACCATGCCTGTTCCTCTGGCTCTGTGTGTGTGAGCGTCACATGCCCGTGTGCACACTTCTCTCTGTGTGTACCTCTGTGCCCCACAGGTTCTCATGATTGGATTCCGCCATCTCGTGTGTCTTTGCCAGTGGTCTGTTCTGCTGTTTGTACACACCACAGCTATGAGACATGCCCATGTTCCTATGGTGACCAGGGTCTTGCGAAGCCCAGGATGGCAGCAGCAGATGAAGATGAGGATGCCAGTGGAGGTCACTCAAATAGGTGGTGATGACAGACAGAGCCACTGACGGGCACAGCTGAGAATGACACACATGGCAGGCACGGCGCCGCTGGTGTCATCAGAGAGAGAAGGAGGGCTGATTCCGCAGTGATGGCATGGCAGTAAATCTCAGGCAGTGGCATGGCGGTGGCTGCCGTGGTACTCTCGTCACCCATCCCTCTGAGCGGGAGGTGCCAACGCATGCTCATCCGATCTAGTGATTCACTTCTGAGATGAATATTGACTATCACGTGGAGGAAGGCTGTTTCCCTGGGACCCCATTTGAGACCCCTACTGCTACAAGCTGAGGATTCTTCTGAAATGCTGAGACCACCTGCAGACCCTCTCCCACAGACCCCAGAGGAGGCTCCCACAGAGCAGCTGCCCTGTTGCACTGACTTGGGGATGCCACACAATGCTGCGTACAGTGGGCCTTTGGGAATATTTGCTTAAGGTGTGCACAGGACTTGGGACGATCTTGATAATAGAATTCTATTTCTGGCTTGCATGATTCCCCGGTCCCCTCATACCCCATATGCTATAAGGAAGATAAAGGAAAATTATTCTGGGAACCCTCCCTCAACCTGACCAACAGGAGTGGAGACAGCAATACCTCAGAACACTCCAGAAATCTTATCAGCCAAAACTGGCAGCATTCAGAACTGATCTTACTGTACTTCTGGGAAAATGTAATGAGAACGAGATAGGACTGCACAGACATGCTGGATCTTTGGTTTTGGTTTGTTTGTTTGAGATAGGGTCTTTTGTATGCCACACCAGCCCCAAATTTATTGTGTAGTAGTGTCTGGCATTGAACCATTGCCCTTGCCTCCACTTTCCGAGTACTGTGATTACAGGTGCTCACCACCACCACAGTGACACACTTTCCTCTTTTAAGACGGGCTCTCAGTAAGTTAGCCCAGGCTGACCTTGAACTCAAACTCACAGTACTTCTTCTGCCTCAGCTTCCAAGATGCTGAGGTTACAGTGTGAGCCATTATATATACATATGTATATGTATATATGACAATATCCTTTAGATGATGTCATCCAATCCCTCCCTTTTATAGATTAGAAAAGACCAGCTTGCAGTAAATAAAATCCCACTAAAAAATGACAATAAAAACTTACCTTTTATGTTCACAGCATCTCTAGTGACACAGTGAACACTCCCCTGTGATCTGATTGGATCCATAGAATGGGCCTAGGACCAGGCTCATCTGACAGCTGGCAGCCCCGCCCTGGGAGGGGCTGAGCCAGCCCTACAGCTTGTGGTGCCTGTTTGCCCTCTTGTTCTAGATCTCTAAAAGAGAGGGAGGTCTTATCCCCATTTTCCAGAGGAGGTAGCGGAGAGTGAGCCTCTCACCCTAGCTGGCATGGTTTGTGAATGGCAGAGTTGGAGTGAGAACCCAGGACCCCTGGATAGCGTCCTAAGACTGCCATAGCGAAGCACCATAGACTCGTCCCTTCAAACAACATAAACTCCTTGTCTTGAAGTTCTGTGGGCTAGAAGTTCAAATTCAGGCGTTAGCAGAACTAGCCTCCCTCGAGAAGACCACAGGAACCTGTCCTTGCCTCTGCTGGCTTCTGCTGACAGCCATCAGTGTGTGTTTGGGGGGTGGGGGTGTTACATTCCTTTGCTTGAAGCTGCGTCCTGTCCCTTTTCCCTGAGTATCCGCCTCATGTGGCATTTTCCTCCTCTTATGGGACATCAGTCATATTGGATTAGGGTCTTCCCCGACGACCTCATCTTTGCTTAATCACATCTATGATGACCCTATTTTCTACGAAGTATACATTCACAAATATCCAGAGTGGGAGTTCAATATATCTTTTGGGTGGACACTGTGCTGCACACAGTAGCCCTGACATCAGGCTAATTGCCTGGCGCTGTGTTCCCCCTGCATCCTTGCTGTTCTTCTATCTCCACAGACAAGGTGCCCTTCTCCTGCAGCGGAGCACAGGGCTGCCAGAGCACCGTCCATCTCTGCTCTTCCAAATTATTACCAGCTACTAAAGTGGGATCATGAAATATAGGCGGTCTTTTTGTCTTTTTTTATTCCCAGACAGTAAAAAAAAATCATTAAGGCTTGCTCTTAATTAGTTTAATTTTGAAGCTTCTAAATATTGATTTAACCTCCACTCTTTGTACTTGCTGCAGTCACTGAATTATGCCTGGTATTGATCACAGATGGCAGCATCCCCCTCCTCGGGGCTCGGGGCTTGAGAGCTGTCAGCCCGCCTGGCACTCTGGGCTTTGAGGTTGCACAGGTATGGAGGAGAGGCTTGCCAAGGCAAAGAAAGGCTTGTCCTTGAGGAAGGCCTGTAAACATGGACCAGGGACCAGCTTCTTTTTCTTGCATTGGCCCAGACCCAAAGGAGATTGATCAAGAAGAAGTCAACTGGACCCCGCCCCCAATTCCATTCTAGGATGGAGGAGAATTGGGCAGCGGGGCTGGAGAGTGGCAAAGGATCAGACCCCAGAGCAGAGGCTTTGGCAATAACCTGGCTTCACAGCTGAATATTCAGACCAGGCACTCACACCTCTCACATCGCAGTGGAGCTCGTCAATCCTCATCACGGTGGCAGTATGAGCACACAGGTGCCACTTCCGACCAGATATCCAGCCCAAGGCCTGGGTCACAATCAGACGGTTTCAGTGGCTAACATTATCATTGCCCTACCATAGGGAAAGCCAGGACCAGGGTGGAAGCACACTGTGGTTTCTAACCTTGGTTCATTACTGTTTGCTGTGTGAACTTGAGCGAGTCCCTTGATACTTTTCCCATTAAAACAAGGGTAGTGGCATCTGTGACTGTCAAACATGTCTTCCTGGAGCACCAAAGACTGGGTATCTATAAATTATAGACTAGAGATTTGTTTCTCACAGTTTTGGAAACCAAGCAGTCCGAGATCGGCATCAGCATCCAGTGATGCTTCCAAGATAGGTGTTTGAACTCTGGGTTCTCTGGGGAATACAGCATCTCCACATGGGAAAAAAGCAGACTGACAAAAAGACCAAAAAAATTCCTCTCTCACGATTTTCAAAATGCCATGTGTCCATTCAGGACAGCAGAGCCCTTGTGACCTAAATACCTCCTAACACTGCACCATTGGGAATGTGTTCCTTTTTTCTTTTTATTTCAGTTTTCCAAGACGGGGTTTCTCTGTGTAGCCCTGGCTGTCATGGAACACACTCTATAGACCAGGCTGACCTCAAACTCAGAGATCTACCTGCCCCTGCCTTCTGGGTGCTGGGACTTGAGCCACCATGCTTACCAGAGATCACATTTCTAATGCAAGAATCTGGAGCACATACTCAGACCACAGGCACGTTAGACAGTGGGAGTGATGGAATTGCAATTGCAAGGTGCATCTGGTTCAGTGGGTTATTGATGATGACTGGAGTTGTAGTGGTCTCCATGGCCCTGTGGCTACATTTGGCCTACAGGATCACGTCCAGACCATGGGGGCTCTCACCACAGTCCTCATTACACTCACAGGCTGCAGGGAAACCCTACTTGGCATTCACTTCCTACTCTTTTCTCCCAGGCCTCCCAGGCTTAGGGTCCCTCCTGTGAATTTTGAATGTCTCCCACCATCTCTACTTCCAGTGACCGTCTTGGTCCAGACTCCCTCTAGGAGCTTGGTTCCCCACCCCACCCCCCAACCCCCATCCCCGTCAGGGAGATTTTTAAAACAATCTTATCAAAGTACCTGCCAAGTTCACTCATTGTCTTAGATAGGGTTTCTTTGCTGTGATAGAACACCACAAGCGTCTTGGGGAGGAAAAGGTTTATTGACTCTTACACTTCTGAGTCACTGCCCATCATCAAAGGAGGTCAGGGCAGGAACTCAGGCAGGAACCTGGAGGCAGGAGCTGATGCAGAGGCCGTGGAAGGGTGGAACTTTCTGGCCTGCACCTCATGGCTCAGCCTGCTTTCTTACAGCATCCCGGAGCACCTGCCCAGAAGTGGCGCTGCCCACAGAGAGCTGGGCCCACTCACGTCAATCATCAATCAAGATGACTGTTTTCTCAGCCGTAACTCCCTCTTCCTAAATGACTATAGTGTGTGACAAGCCTATACAAACTAGCCCGACACTAATTTGCAGCGTATCTCCT